GAAAGCGAGAATCCCCCCCCCAGGGGGGATAGCCAAGCCACAATCCCTTCTCTTCCATTCTCCTCTGGGGTCTTGGGCACGCACGCACACGTGCCCTGCATGAGTTTAAGCCACTGGGTCCGGGACTCGAACCGCGGTCAACTAATGTGGGAATCCAGCGACATAGCCATTACGCTAACTGCTGGTCCCTCCTAGTCCTTTTTGCATCAAGGTAAGAGGGCAAATGTAGGGCTGGAGCCTTCCTTGGTTAGAAATGACAGCATCGCCAAGGCTCAGCCTAAAACTCCAAGGAGGACACTGAGGTGGCTGCCTTCAGAGACATTTCTCCTGTGGTGGCCTGGGCAGTGCTGAGGAGCAGGCCAGAACTGGCCAGATGAGCAGAAGGAGAACAGGCTGAGGCCGCGGGAGCCCAGCACCTGCCGATCCCTATAGGGGTGGCCGGGAAACGTCTTGGCGGGAGCTCCCACCTAGTCAGGGCCAGCCTCTGTTTCCAGTCAGAAACAGAATGAAATCAGGTGTTATAAAATTGCATTTTGCCTGTGCATTGTCAGTATCGAAGTTGACCCCTGAGGGCCTTGTAAGATCGAGTTGGGCGGCTTAGAGCAGAAAGCCATAAGCAGTGGTTCGCAGACCTCGGTGGGTGTCAGTCCCATCCAGGACCCAGGGGCACGGGCTCCTTGGATTCGAGGTCCTGTGCTTTCTCGCCTTACCAAGCACCCCATGTGATGTTGATACCCACCAAAGTTTAAGAACTACTGCCCTAAATTAACCTTGGCTTATGTAGGACCAAGTTTCTTTCTTACTCTTGTTAAGGATATTTGTGGACAGTCTGTCACGGTTGGTAAGAGAGATCCACAGTGACGGCAGAGACCCAGCTTCCTAACTCATGTCCTCAACACGTGTCTTCTTTTTTCAAGGCCATGAAAGGATCTGTAGCTTCAGCCTTCATGCCTAAGTGCCCAGTTTAGTAACCACAGAAGAAGCAGGGGCGAGACAAAAGCAGCCCTGGAGATGAATTCACTTCCTTTATGTAGCCTTCTCAGAAGCCCCACACTGTGCCGACGTCTACACTCAGCAGCAAGGCATGTGGCCATATCTACTTGCAGGGAACTCTGGGAAAGACAGTCTGTTAGCTGGGCACCTCGCTGGCCCAAGGAGAGGAGTGATCTTTTACTAGGGACAGGGAGATAGGGTGTTGGGCTAGCTCTCTGCATTTATTGAACACCTAATGTGCAGTGGCACGGGGCTAGATGAAATACATCACACATTTGATAAAGGCATGCCAAGCTGTGTGTGCTTGGCTCATAGCAAACTCGTGATAAATATACCAGTCCAGGGATTCTGGGGTCCAGAGACTACAGTGAACTTTCCTTATGGGATTCAGACAAGGGCTGACAAAACTGTACTTTATGAAATGCTCCGTGGCCATCCATGACCAGTGTATCCTTTTCTCATGCTGGAGATTGAGGATCACTAGGTCTGGTGAGATTTTCAAGACCCTCAAAGTAACAGAACCACCCTTGCAAGCATGACAGTTTGTTTCCTT